CAACCATCATTTCAACGTCAAAATTTCCTATGGTCCTTTTCATAAATTAACGTTAAAAATGATCGTCGCGAACACTTTCCAGATAACTAATGGTATATAAGAACATCTCTAATCAGGATAAAAGAAGAATGCTAAAGCCATTATAATATAAGTCGCTATTAGCAAAGCGCCTTCTAACCAATTGGATCTTCCATCTAAAAACATATTTTAATAAAGGTATTTAAGTGTGTTGTCACTCAATTCCTCGAGAATTAGTTCCCCCGCCAGCCAATTAACCGATACCGTATTACTGACATGATATTTTCCCTACAACACACTCTTTTCGACAAAACACATATGCAACATTACATGTCTTCGACAACCCTTCTCTTTGACAAGAAAAATTTCTAATGAAGCATTCGGCGACATCCATTTCCACGACAATTAATTTGTACTAAAATTATGATTGTTGCTCAATTCCCCGAAAACTACTTACCTGACACAGTCCATTTACCCCATATCACATAGGGTGACAATTTAGCATTTAGTTAGCTATAAGTATATTTTATTAGTAAATTTTCACCTCATGTGATGTTTGGTAAATAGACTTTCGGGTAAATAATTTTCGGGGAATCGTACCGTAACCTAAAATTATGTGTCATTGAAATGATTGTGAGAAATTATTCTGTAAGAAATTATGTCTTGTCAAGAAAAGGGTTGTTGAAAAACATGTAATGTCTTATCGAAAAAATGTGCTGTAGGTGAAATAACATGCCAGAAAGGTGGTTCTGGGAAATGAGTTGGTGAGAAATAACTTTCGGGGAATCACACCGAATCATTTAAGTGATGCATTTTATAATTTAACAAAGCAATACATACCCTATATTGAAAGTGATTATGCCAATTTGATTGATTTTAAAAAACATCACTATTATATTTTATAATGAATGTGAACAATTTTGATATTCATGAAGATTTTTCAGTTTTACTGAAGATATTTATTTATTGGACAGTACTTTTTTATATTTTTTATACATATCTTGAGGTGCACAAAATTATTCTACACGCAATTGTAAAGTCTATTAGTTTCAGAGGTGGTGTGAATTGTGTGAAAATGGAAATGTTTTTTTACTACGTTAACTTAATAATGCTGTTTTTACTTTTAAAAGAACTGTCATATATTTGAAGACGTAAACACATGTTTTAGATAGTAACCTATTAACATTTAGGAGTACAATAATAGTGTTGTGGGCTAAACAGAAATATTTCGTCAAGATGAGTTATTTTGCTTTGGTAATATTTCATGCTCGCAAATAATTTCTTCAGCAACATTATTTGAGAATGATGAAATTAGGGTTGTTAATGGGTTGGGTTGGTTGGTTGGCTAAATATACAACCTACTCCATCAAATTAGACTTGCTTCGAAATACTACTCTGGGTTGCTCCAGATTGCTCCAAATCTAGACATTTTAAACCCTCCAATTTGTGTTGGACTTAAACCTTCCTAAGTAGTTTCGACGAGCTTTACTAATTAAGGTTAGATGAGTTCGCACCTTTTATTAAATAATATTCGAGTATTTATATTTATTGAGAGGTTTAAGCTAGTATCTTAAAGATGGCTCAACCTGAAGTGACTATGGAATAGACTATTCCATTAACAACTTTAATGATAGATATTTTCGCGGACAACCAAAGTGCTTTGCTACTATGGAAAATAGACAATTTATTAATTTACCGATTAGTGAGAGGAGAAACTAAATAGAACCTCTGTTATAATAGCCAATGCAAAATTGATACTATAAGTTCTGACTTTAAAACATTTTTTTTTTTCTAGAGAGATATAGTGTGAATTTGGTTTACTTATCTGACCTACTGTAACTTATAATAAACGACTAATTGGCTTTATGTTGGTTTACCGAAGTTTGCATATTTTCTTTATCCAAAATACTTTATAAATGTCTGCTAATCTTCTCTAAGTCCGAAATTATTGATTTTTCGAGTAAATCAAAATTTCTTGTAGGCATACCATAGGGAGAAGTTCGTTATTTGAATATTAATTTCTATTTAATTATTATATCTTAGTCTGTATTGGGGGCAAATTTGCCCCGAATTTAATAAAAATTTTATAAATCTTCAAATTGCTTAAAATGATAAGGGGTCTATAATCTTTATAAAAAATATTCTTGAAAATATATTTTATTAACTTTATTAAAAAATTTTTTTATTTTTATTAGAAAGTTTTTGAGTAATTAAATTTTTAAAGTTTATTATTTAAAAAATTTTACTATTAAATTTAAATTAGGTTTTTTAAAATTTTATATGTCTCCGAAGCTAAAAAATATTTTTGCTTCTAATACGTATAAGTTTAAATTTTTTAAGTAAATCATAAAAATTATAATAATAAAAATTATTCCTTTTGATAAATTCTATTAAATTATGATTTATTAAAATAATAAGTAACAAAATTTTAAAATAGTAAAAATTTTCTAAAATTTAAAAAATTTTAAAAAATTAAATCATAAATATTTTTATTAAAAAATTAGAAGCAAATCTGTCTCTAATTTAGATACACATTAAGAGATACAGTTTAAAATACTTTTCAAAAAAAAAAAAAAAAAAAAAAAAAAATAGAATAAACATAATAAATAAAAAAAGATATTAATAAAAAGTTTTATTGGAGCTATAGGACTTCACTGGCAAAAAAAAACTTTAAAAATCCTCTTTATTTAAAAAGTTAGCATAGTAACTTGATTTTTTTGGATAAGAAGTAATTACTATGCTAACTTTTTTAAATAAAGAAGGTTAAATATCTTTTTTAGCAGTAAAGCCCTATATTCTAATAAACTTCTACATATCTCTTTTTATGATGTCTATTTTTTTTTTAAAAAAAAACACTTTATAAACTGTATATAAATTATGCAAAACAAATAAAAATTAACAACCCATCAGACGAACTTAGTGTGATATAATTTAAAATATTAAAATTTTACAAAACAAAAAAAAAGATATATGATAAAGTCCCCAGACCATGTGAAGCCTAGTACATTATTATTATTACCTATGTGTTTTTACAATTGCAATTATAGAAATCAAGCATCACATGGATCGAGTGGAAAGTATATTACATTCAATAACAAAAACTTAAGATTTTTTCATTTTTTCCGCATTAATTTGTTCTAAAAGGGCAATCGCTTTAGGTTGACTTTTAAAAGCAGCTAATCTAGTGTATGATTCTGCCTTTTCTTTATCAATCGGCACCCCAAGTTTTCCATTCCAATAAATGTCTCCCAAATTAAAAAGTGCTGTGGAATTCTCATGGTCTGCAGCCATAATCATGTATTTCATTATTTCAGCAACGTTTTTACTTTTATGTTCAATAAGAGTAAATGCGTAACGAAGTTGTGCATCGGCAACACCATTGTCGGCTGCTTCTTTAAAGAGACGAAGAGCTGCATTAGTATCTTTCTTTACACTCAATCCAGATAACAGATAATAACCCTTCCAATATTTGGCTACATTATTTCCAAGATCTGCATGATTAACAAAGCATTCCCAAGAAACCTTATAATTTTTCGCTTTGTGTTGTTTAATTCCTTCTTCAAAAGGCATAATGGTTTTTATTTGAGGTATTTGAGGTATTGAATATTCATGTAAGTCATCATCAGGCATTTCGATTTCCGATTTTGTCAATTCAAAATTTGGAATTTCAAATTCACAATAAGGATCCTTGGGACGTATTTGAGGTGAAGTTTCATTAAACTGTTCATAAAGTTCTTTTAATTTCAATTGCACTTCTAAATCTGAAGGTC